CTCTACCCATCTATACGTCTTCTCTAGTATTTTCTATTATAAATGGCACCACCACCTCCTTACTAGCCTAAGCCAGAAAGCTGCGTAAAATCCTGTTTCTTTCTCACTGGCACACCAGCCACCCCTCCAACTGTGTCCAGTTATCTACTATAGCGCATAGATTGTAACATCTGAGTATGTTTCCAATCTGTTTCCTCCTATGCAACCCACAGACATTACTGGAGTTTGTGGTCTCATTATATCTCGCTGGGAAACTTGCCCCAGCATCCTACTCGCCCCCTGTCTCCAGTCTTGTCTACTTCCAGTTTATTGTCTGATGCCAAAGATGTATTCAAAAATATAATTCTATATATAATATGACCATGTTTGAAATATTTTTATTGATCTTAATCACCCACATAAATAGAAAAGCCCTAGACTTATAAGAATCTTGATGATCTAGACAGGTTCAGCTTTGAAGCCCTATAAATCAGCCCACTCCAAATATATCACAGCCATACAGACTGCTTAGCAGCATGCCCTGTTTTTGTTTCCATGACTTCCTGCTTTATACATTCCTCATTCCCACTCCCCCAAAGGAAGAATTAGGATTTCTGTACTGCGGTAAACATCTATCCATTATCCACACTCTATATCATATTTAGAATAACTTGTTTATACGTTTGTCTTTTTTGGTAACCTGTGAAATCCTTAGAATTGAATATTTTATTCCCCTTTAAAACCCCAGGGTTTATCAAAGTGCTTTAGTTCACTCCAGACTATGAGTTTAGTAATTTCTATCCAATTCCTGTCTGTTATCTTTTAAAGACTGATTCACAGAAGTACTTCACGGACTATGAAGAACAGAATAGATATGCAAAGACAAGAGTTTGGTTTCCAATATGAGAAAATTATGATCTGCTGAACTGGGTCAGAGGCCAAGGGTTCAAGTCCTAAATTGTGCCATATTCTCTTTCTGTGAGTTTGAGCAAGTTACTTTAAACCCTCTGTCCTTAAATTGGCTCATCTTTAAAGTTATGTTAATAATTCCTGTTTTAACCATCCTATTGTACAGATTAAATAAGATAATATATGACAAAACCCAACTTTGTAAATTGGAAAATGCTAAACAAATGCAAGATTTGATGATCACCACACGTAAGCAGCTTATCCTATGTTGAAAACACAACTACTCTATCATTTGGAATGATTTCAATGGCGAGAAACAAAACCAGAAAAACAGCTGCTTAAACAAATAGAGGCATATTTTTTTTTTCATTGACTAGAAATATGGAGGTAAGTTGTTGTTTCATCTGGCTCATTGTGCTATCAGGACCTGAGGATCTGCTTCTAGTTTTACTCCATTATCTTTTTCTTCTTGGCTTTTGTCTTTACGCTTGTTACCTCAAAGGCGGCTGCAACAGTTAGAAACATACATCTGCATCCAAGGTAGAAAGAAAGGAGACAAAGGGAGAAATGCCAGCTTACTTGTTCTTTTTATTAGGAAAGCACATATGTTTCCAGAACTCCCATCAAACTTCTGCTCCCTTCTCATTACCTGAAACTCACATGGCCATTGTGAGCTGTATGGGGAACTGGACATGTGTTTAGCCTTCTCAGCCTGTATATGAAGGAGGGCAAAAAACAAGGGGCTGGCTGGAGGATGGATGTTGGGTTTGCTAGCTAACAGTGGCAAACCCAACAGTGCCACGCGTATCTTCCTGAAAATTCTGTTTTCAATCAGTTGATGAACAATAAAGGATAGCATTGTGTTCTCAAAGCTGCTTTCAGTGGGCATGGATTAATCATTACGACTGATTAAGAGTCAGCATGTCTTTTCAGATGTCTGGTCTTTCCATCAACTATCACTACATTTTAAAACAAAGATCATGGAGTTCTGTCTTTAACGGAAGAGAAATTCACCCAAGGTTTATGCTTTGACCTCAGAAAAATGCACCCATTAGACATTGGAGAGTAAATTAAAAGAGACTTCCTGAGAATTGACTTTCCAGTACAGTTTTCAGTACCATACAGTATAGAAAGGCAAGCAAGAAAGGACTGAAGATGACTGAAGATTTACAAACAGGGACTGAAGATGAGTGAAGATTTACAAACAGGAAAGAGATGCTGGAAGAAAGCAAAAAACAAAATGAACAAACAAAATTAAAAGAATTTTATTCCACTTTCTACCCAAGTCCCAACATAGCATTTAATTTATAAAGAGCAACACGATTTCCCTCCCTAGTCCCACCTGCTAGCTGGAGTAACTGTAGGGAAACCCAGGAATTATTTAGGCTTGCTAGCAAGTTCACTGGGGTTATTTTCATTTTCTAGTTCTGGCATCATTGCAAGTAGCTTCTTTCTTTTCATCAGTTATGTCACATAGAAATAGAGGGCACCTCAAACCATATGTTGATTGAAAGCATACAAAGCCATGACTCTGTCTAAGGATCAGTTTGATCAAGGAGTATACCTTGTGCTGTGTCTGTTCTGCTGGGCTACACAGCGTTCTAGAGTAGGATAGCTCTGCAGCCCCAGCAGATGGCTACTTTCTGTTTTTAGAAGAGCCGACTTGGGATGCCTTATGCTTTTTATCTTGTTGAAAGTCGTTCTAAAAACTCAGAGCCTATCAATTGCTCTTCATCTTTTCCATTCAAGCTACAGCAAAAATGCATTAAAATTAATTTATTTTTTAGAATGATAGGAATGGAATGTATAATGTCCTTCACAGAAATGTAGGAATTAATTTTAGCCATAAACCTGAGACCAGACTGCAAAATCACGATAAACTATTATAACCGTCTGCACCTACTGTTATGTGAAAAATTACCTAGTCAAAGCAGTCTATTATGGGCTTCCTTCTAGGTCTTCACATCGCCTGCCTGCCTGCCTGCCTGCCTGCCTGCTTTCTTTCTTTCTTTCTTTCTTTCTTTCTTTCTTTCCTTCCTTCTTCTTTCTTTCTCTTTCTTTCATTCCTTCCTTCCTTCCTTTTCTTTCTTTTTCTGTCTCTCTTTCTTTCTTTTTTCTTTCCTCTTATAGTCCTTAGCTTAGGCCGCAAAGGAGGTCAGATAGGTGACTTTGTAACAGCTATGTACCTGAATCATTCCAAAGGCTTTTATTTTAAGGTCTGAAAACACTTTTATCTGCAGTGCTAACATTGCAATGGCCAGTTCTTTTGTGAAGGACATGATTACATCTAGTCTCCTCTTTTTTTTTTTTTCCCACATACATCATCTAATGATATTTTCATGGTTAAAACTAAGACACCAGTTTCTTAAATTGAAAATGTTTCAATTATGTTGAAAATGCATTTTTAGCTGAAGACAAGGATTTGATTTATTTGCTATCTGAATTCATACATTTTCATTGGTCAACAAGGCTTCAAATAGCTTTGAGTTGTTGTCTTCAAATATCATAATTGCCATGCTCCTAAGCTGTGAAGGAAGTTGGCTAATGTGTTGAGATATGCAGACAGTTGGATAATTTTTTTCTTTAAAGTAAATTTAAAATTATCTTTTTTCTTATGACTCCCTTGTGAAAGGTAGTGTTGAAAATATATAAAGAGAATGAATTCTAAAGGATTGGATAGACCCTTAAGTTGGGAGAGCTAGAAGAGACACTCAGAGTTTCATTTTTCAAGCTCAATCCTTCCCCACTGCTAGCTTTACTCCCCCACAGTTTTCTTTAAGTAAGAACGTTTTCCCAGATAAGTGAAAGACTTCCCAAGGTCACATGACTCACTGGCAGGCAATCTCACATCTCATTTCTGATCCGTGTTTATTCGGCTAAAACTGCTTTTCAGTATGAAAAGTATTTTTAAAGTATTGAACGTACATTGAAATTAAACTCAAGTTGAAGGAAAGAGTTTGTGTTTAACTGGTTATATTATAAACTTCACACAGAAAACTTACATCAAAATGAATTTAAACATTTCTTAGGGAAATGTAGTGCAAGATACACATGCTTGGGAGTCAGGTACATCTGGGTTTATATCTCAGCCCTGCGTTATAACCTTGAGAAAGTTATCTACTCCCTCTGAGGATAAGGTTCCCTATTTTACACTGTTGTGAAAATTAGTACTATATTTTAAATACCTAGTGCAGTACCTGGAATATAGTAGGCACTCAAAAAATAGTAGCTTTTATCAGGTAATATAAAACCCAACTTTTGTGTAAATGATTCTAAGGATTACATAATCTCAGAAGTACTGGGGAAAATGTGTACTGTGCAGGTGTCAGTGTAAAGAAAATAGACTGCTAAAAGTGAGTCTGGGGAGCTAAATACTAGAAGCTCACAATGTTAGTTCCTGCTTCTCTGGACATGAGTCAGCTCAGATGCTGAAGGCATTTCAACTACAAGTGTAGTTCTTAGTCAGACCTGAGCCAGGTAGGGGAGAGTATCAGAACCAGCCACTCCAGCTGATGGGGCCAGGAACTATTCTTTGCATACCAGCCAACAGGCTCGGGAACTCCACCTGTATGGTTTTGCCACTGGTATTAGTCTGTTCTCATGCTGCTAATACAGACATACTCAAGACTGGGTAAATTATAAAGGGAAGAGGTTTAATGGAATCACAGTTTCACATGGCAGAGAAAGCTCATAATTATGGCAGAAGACAAAGGAAGAGCAACGGGATGTTTTACATGGTGGCAGGCAAAAGAGTATGTGCAGGAGAACTCCCCCTTTATAAAACCATCAGATCTCATAAGACTTACTCACTATCATGAGAACAGCATGGGAAAGACCTGCCTCCATGATTCAATTACCTCCCACCAGGCCCCTCCCATGACACATGGGAATTATTATAATTCAAGGTAAGATTTGGATGGGGACACAACCAAACCATATCACCACTTAAAAAAAACTTATTGGTTTGTCTAGCTTTGGTTCTGAACTTCTATGCTGGTGTCCTGATTCAGATGCTGGTTCCTCTAGGGAAGCCCAGGACACTTTGCTGAGACACTGAAATCTCACCAAGTCCTTAACACACATCTGTTTTAGAGATAGGCACTGTTACTTACAGCCTTTGACGCTGACTGCACTCCTGTTCCATGTGGATGTTTCATTTGTAACCAGAATGCTTCCACTGCCTGGACTTGCTGTTTCCTGCAGTAGGAGAGCACAGGATCAGAAAAAGATCAACCTCACCACATCCTTCTGAATATCATGACTGTACTGTGGGTTACTTCCACCAAGTGCTTATCTTCCATTTAGTTAATTTATCCACCTAAATTTTATTCCAATCCAGCTTATTTTCTGTCTCTCACTGATGAGCTTCCGTAGGTTCTTGTGCCAAGTTGTCTTGAGCTAAGAATTCTCTAGAAGATCTGCAGGTAAAAGAAAAGATGAATGTAGCTATCATTGTTGAAGCTAATCTGTGCAGGACATTAATATTGTCATATGACCTGCATTTCTTTTGAGCTACAACTCTTTGAAACTCTCTGTGTAAAGCCACAGCTAAGCTCCCAAAGACTTACTGTGGAGTTTCAGCACTACAACTCTTTCTTTCCTAGGAGATTTGGTGGATGAGGGGGTCATTTAAGTAATGCAAAGTCATTGCATTATTTGGAAATCTGCCCTTCTGTCTGATGTTCACCCATGTTTCTTGCACAAAGTTGAGGCACCCTTAACTTTCTTCTTTGTTACTCATTCCACTAAAGAAACAGCTTTGCTGATAGGCTTGCAAATGTCTTAAGTAGCAGAAGATAAACTAATTAGAAGCTCCTTTAAGGAAACTTAACAGAATAGAAAATAAAAGCCAGGAGTTATGGCTCACACCTGTAATCCTAGCACTTTGGGAGGCTGAGGCAGATGGATCACCTGATGTCAGGAGTTCAAGATTAGCCTGGCCAACATGTTGAAACACCATTTCTACTAAAAATTACAAAAATTAGCTGGGCATGGTGGCAGATGCCTATAATCCCAGCTACTCAGGAGGCTGAGGCAGAAGAATCCCTTGAATCTGGGAGGCGGTGGTTACAGTGAGCTGAGATTTCGTCATTGTACTCCAGCCTGGGCAACAAAGAGAGACCCTGTTTCAAAAAAAAAAAAAAAAAAGTTATAATTTTAGCCTTTATTTATGCAAATGATGACAAAACCTGAAAGAGGTCTTTGGTGCAGTGTTTGGTGACTGAGGGGCTCTTGTGTGAGAATGAGTAGGACAGAGTGTCTTAGGTTGCTGTGTGCCAGTGCCCATATTTAATCAGTTCTCTTCTAGAGGAAGCAGCAATTGCTCTGGCCTCTGTGGAACATAAAAGCAGAAACTCTGATGGAGGCCCCTGAATGACAACCATGGACTGTAACTGTTAACTTCCACAGATCTACAGTTGCAAATTTTCCTCAATAAGGGCTCCTGACTTTGGCTCATTTCAGATTATTTTCTATTATTTCAAAATCAGAAAATAAACTTGGTAGTCTAATATGTTTTTACAATTAGGTAAATATAAAGATTACATTATAGACCCAACATGGATAAAATGCATGCTTTTTATTGCTTTTCTAGGAGTCGGGATGGATTTCTGCCCAAAAATTCTTATTATTGCCCTGAGTTCCCATTACGACTAATGACACGGATTGACAGGAGCCAGGAGTATCATCTGCAATCGTGAACCAGAAGAAATTTTATGGGTTAAAGAGCCAGAAGTGCACAAATGGGACCTAGATTACTACAGAGCCATTTGTATTTCTTAAGATTCTCTTGGTCACATGCAACAAAAATAACCCTGAGAAGCATAGGCACACTAAAAAATATATTAGCTTACGTAAATGAGGGAAGAAATGAATAACTGAGCCTCATGAGGAGAAGGAATAAGGACAGCATAGACACCTCCTCAGGAGACGTTTTGGACCTTTTCAGGGGCAGGTAACAACACATCAGCTTTAATTGTTCCCAGTTTCCAAATATCCATATTCCAAATTTCAAAATCCCATGAGGTCTTTCTGGGTCCAGCATCTATCCTTGGATTACACTTTCATTGTCAGTGGGTAGGGTCACATAGAAAGGACGAGGTTTCCGGAGCATAATCCTGTGACCTACAGGTCCATCTCAGAGTATTTGTTTTGAGCTTGGCAGCCACCACCAAAATTATCTGCTCTACACCTCATATTCCAACATTAATTCTCACAATTAAAAAATTCCCAAGTACAGGTTGCATGGAAAATAAAAATGAACTACACACACACACACACACACACACACACACACCCTGAGTATGAAAAAAAAATAATTTGATGCTTATAGCAAAGATGCTTAAGGCTTTTGTTTTGTTTTTTGCTGAAAAGCAAATTTATTTTTCAGCTTATAAAATGTTGGTTATGGGTTGGATTGGGTCTCTCCAGAATTTATATGCTGAAATCTTAACCTCCTGTACCTCAGGATGTGACCAGGTTCTGTGCAGAGGTAATCAATTTAAAATGAGTAATTTGGCTTGGTCCCAATACAATATGGCTGGTATCCTTATTAGAAGGGGAAATCTGGAGATAGACAACAGATATAGCACACAGAGGAATGCTATGGGAAGATGAAGGCAGAGATCTAGTGCTGCATTTGTAAGCCAGGAACACTCAAGATTGTCAGCAAACCATTGGACAGTAAATGAGAGACATGGAACAGATTCTTTTTCACAGAAGGAACCAACCCTCTAGACACCTTGATCTCAGATTTCTAGTAACTAGAACTGTAAGGCTACAAATTGTTTTTAAAACACTCACTTGATAATACTTTGTTACATCAGCCTTAGAAAACTATTAGAATGTTATGGTCAAAATGTGAAAGGGTATTGGTTATACATTTTAAAGTGATTTAATGAGAATTTAAGATTTCAGAGAAAAAGACACTTTCATAAAAACATTTTTATATTAAATTGTTGGATTACTTTTTCACTGACATTAACTTTCACCTTCATTCCTGTAGTATGACATGTGACTAATTAAATTCTTGGATGTATCACAGACCAAAAAAGATTGGTTAAATAAGCTGTGAAGTAAATGGGCTAACAGTCACATATAGAGATGTGGCCTAATATTCTTATGTTCTTAGGGAAATCTTCTGATGTTAAGAAATCCTTCCTCAATTTTGCAATAATTAGGATTTAAGCTAAACAGTCAGCGGAAAGTTATAAAGTAATAGATTTCACAGCATTTTTAGGTCGACAGTGGACTTTTTTCTTGGCAATGACTAACATTAGCCCAACCATCTGTCCTTTTTACCAGTGAGCCCATACATGTCAAAGATTCCAGCTGAGAAAAGCTTGACTGTTTCTTTTCTCCTGCAAAATATAATGATTCCCAGTAATTTATAAATGTTTGGCATAGCAAAAAATCATGCAGATATCACAATGAGTTGTGTCGAAGCTGCTAAACCTCAAATTCCCTGGCAAACACCATAGTTCAAAAAAAATGTAGTTCTGCCACTTAAAAAAATAACTCCCACAGGTATTTGGTGAGAAGGATAATGATGAACTAAATCTAAAATCTTTGTAACTCAGTACCAGTGAGTTCCTGACGCTATTCAGCATGTTACTGTAGAAAGATTTGTGATTATCTATTTTATATATTTAATGTTTATCTCTCCAGTAGATTGTAAACTCCATGAGAACCAGAACTACATTTGTCCTGGTCAACATTATGACCTATAAATCTAGCATGGTACAGGAATTTTAATTAATATTTGTTGAATAAAAGAATGATTAAGTATAAAAAATCAGTGATTAATGAAAGGTCTGGCAAAATATTACCAGTTTGATACAGAATTCAGACAACTTCGTACTTACAGGGATCTGTTTCTTTCTTTAATGATATTTAACCTAATACATACTTCCTGTGTCTGTTTCCCAACCTAGATATATCATATCTTTTCTTTTAAATCTTTAGTAGTTCTTCAAGTCCTATAATACCAAGTTCAAAATCTATAGCAGAACAATTCTCTTCACAGTCTAAAGTTACTCAACATTCCTAGCCTTATTTCTTTCCATTTCCCCAGTTTTTACTTTCCCTTACCTTTCTCTTCCAACGTGTTCTTTACGATCTAGCCACAGAGCTACACTCAAGCCCATATGTTCCATGTACTTTCAGAGCTACATGGTGGCGTTCTTGCATAGAATAGCTGCCTCTTTTACCCCTCTCGGTTGAAATCCTATTAATCTTGCAAGACCTACCTCACTGACTTAGTGAAAACTTCCATAAATTCACCTTTCTTTTTGTGCAAATTCAATCACTATCTCTTCAGTTCCCCCTCCAAAAAAAAAAAAAAAAGCAAGTAGTTTTGCCCTGATTGTCTGTATATTTCTACTGTTTGAGAATCACTTCAGGAAATGCATTTGTCCCTCCATCCAAAGAACATAGCTCAGTGTGTAGAGCATAGTAGGTACTTAATTCAGGTCAGATGAATCCTTATTTTTTTTCCTCTCAGAATTCTTATTTTAGAATTCACCCTTTCAAAAAAATATGTTGATACCTGGCTCCACTCCTACATATGTACTTAAACCCACCCTCCAGACGTGGCTTGCTCATTTGGCCAGAGCAGACCTAATGTTTTACAGAAGAGTGCATGACTCAGACTATTGAATCTTCAAATCTACTTCTCAGCTAGTTTTAAACTAAAGAAATGTACCCCAAGTGGCTCAGAACAGCCTGGTATAGATGGCACATCTCAATGCTGTGGGACTATTCAAATTTTACATTTATTTCTTTCTATTTTTATAAAATAATCAAGCTAGTGAAATAATACAGCTTCTTGTTCCTATTATACCCTTAGTTTAATTGACTTAGATTCTCTAGAGTCAATTAAAACTGAATATGTTATTCCACCCAGTCATGGGAAATGAATGCAGTTCTCTATTTTCTTTGTAGTTTTATATAATCTTCTGTAGGGAAGTGCTTAAAGCATGTATATCTACAAACAGAGTCAGTTTTGAAAAGAATGTGGCTGAAGTTGAAAGGCGGGACTTTTCTGGATCAGTTGGGCGACTGCCTTGCTAGTGGCACTGGAAAGCTCCCAACTTGTTCTCAACAGGCTAGTTAGGAATGAACTCAGCAAATCCTTTTGGAATCATGGAGACTCCACCCCTTGATCTGGTAGGTGCCCGGAGAGGTGCACAATCAATGAAAAGCATACAGATGGTGAGCGGAATTTATCTAGTACCTCGTAGCCAAGTTTTCGTGTAGATTGCATGATTTGGGGTTACTGATCAGGGACAATATCTTCTATACCTTGAATAAACTCTTAATTGGAAAAATCCTACTTTTAGAACATCCTAACATAAGCAAGGTTGTTATAGGAGAGTGGGAAAAATTCAACAGTATGGCAAGCTATTAGAGCAACAGAACTATTTATTTCTTTGGTGAAACAAATCCTTCCTCACTGAGCATCCAGGGCAACACAACACAATTTCTGGTTTTGACAAACTGTATGTTTATAATGTGTAGGGAAAATTTTCTATTTTCTTGTCAAATATTAGCTAATGCTTAAATTATAATAAGAATATTTAGCATTCATATGTTGCAATGCAGTTTACCAAAATGTTTTCCTCTA